TTATTCAAAATATTTTTATTAACATACTAGATTATCAGTTTAAATTTGCCAGATTAAAGGAAGAAAGGTTTAAAATTTTTCAGCAACTGTAAAAATTTATTTAAAGGTGCTTTAAGCATTGGAGTTGGGTTAATATTTTATGCACTTTTTCTCTTGAAGACCACCATTGAAATGTAACAAAAAATATTCACAGTAAGCAAAAAAAAAAGTGCTTAGCTGGTGGTTTTGTATTAAAGTAATTAAATTAAATGTCTATGCATCCAAAAAATGTGAAAAATATCGATAATTTCATTGAATATTATAGTAACAAAGAAAATGAAATTTTTCATTTGACATTTTAATTTTTTACATAAGATAGAAATACATTTACTTATTTATCATTGCAATTTTTTTTTTTTTTTGAGAAAAGGAAATTGCAGAACTGTTCTTTAATACGTGGAAAAAAATTAAGCTACTCCCAAATAAAATTTTAATAAAGGCCTTCAAATTAAAATACTTATGGAGTAAATAAGGACTATTTACTTAAAGCAATTTCAGTAGTATTATAAAAAGAGCAGAATTTTTAAATTTTTGCTAAGCTTTGAGATTACAGGAAAAAAAAAAAAGAATTTATAAGCTCCAACTAAATTGCAGCTATTAATATGAGTCAAAAATAATTGAAAATAAATAGTTAATTATTTTTAATCTATAATGTTTTTATTAAAACTATCACTTTAATGCGAACTTCTCATAGAAATTTTTCCAAAAAATAACGTGATGAATCTCGAAATTTTATTTTTTACATGCAGCGCAAGAACACTTCCATTGACATTAAACTAAAACATATAAGTAAACTGAAATCTATTTCGTTAATAGATCGGGAAAATTAAAATTTCTGACGATCTACCTCAACTAGTCAATAATATACCTAATAATCTTATCAGATCTAGTCACTGAGGAAAGCAATAAGAAACCTGTACCAAAAAATATGCATTTCTTTTAGCACTAGTTTGGTTTCCAGCCACAATAGTTAACATTCAGCGAACTTTTTTGCATTTGTAACTGCATTGTTTTATGATACTAGGAGGGGGATACGCTGGGTGCTCTATTTTGCGCAGCTGTTTAATTAGGTCATAATCAGAAGTGTTTAAGAATTACATGGCTAATCGTAAGGTTTTTGTTCAAAGACCAACCAATCAAAAACAGTATGATAGAAGAACTATGATCAAGGCTATGCAAAGAACATTTTATAAAGAAGGAATGCAATATCACAATGCTTTTCTTGCACTAAAGAGATGTCATTTCTTCGTAATCGAGCAAATACAGACTGTTTAAAAAAAAACGTGATTTAAAAAAAAAATCATAATTATTCAGCTTTTAATCGTTTTTTTCATCGAATAATGTGCAGATAGAAAAGGGAAAATCTCGAGTTTTATGCAGTTGACAGCAAGTAGCACTAGCACTTTTCCTTTGCTTGCCATTTCAGTGTTTGCGTAGATGGCGACTGCGCAGTAGAAATCGTTTTGTGTTCTGCGCTTCGCGAAGTGTGAACAAAGAACGTCTATGTATGCCAATGATTTGCAAATTTCGGAGTGCCTATGGTTCAAAACCATTTATCTCCACATCAGAATTACTAAAAGTGAGCAGAAATTGGAAAAATTTGGCATAAGTGATTTACTTGATGCTCAATAGAGGGAGCCACAGGCTCGAGAAAGTTTAAGGATAGAGATGAGAATATAAAAACTTAAGTATCATAATTTTTTATAATTTTTTAGGTTTTTATAATTTTTTTTTGTATTTTATATAACGTCTATGTAAAGAAGGAAAGGCTCCATAGACGTAATGTAAACCAGTTTGTCTTCTACGCCGCTAGAAAGAAGAGAGAAAATTCGCCAAGGGATTTGGCGAGAATTTCTCCTCTGTGATGTACTAGACCTGGCCGAGATTTTCCTTTTTTGTCACGTGTACAGAAAATTGAGGAACACGGATTAAGCTGAATAAGGTGAAGTTTCACTTTCACTGGCTGTTGAACTTGCATTATCCATATAGCAGTTTGATGTCTGATTTCATATCCGTCAATATGGAGGGGGGAAAATGGAGTCACACAGCTTTAAACTCTTGATAAACGTGACCGTCGAACCTGTTCGAACTTCGACATAAGCTTCGAGTTTTGGCGCTTTTTGGCGACAGATATTTTACGCATGTGAAGCTGTTTCCCTTTTCTTTCGAAGGGAGCCACTCCTGCTGCTGCGAAGCTTTCTTAACAATACATATTCTTTGGTGTGAATCCGCAACAACTTGTTAGGTTGATTTTCATCGACATGGTTAAACAACCTCCGCTCGCAGCATTAGGTAATGGTACAAACAATTCCAAGACACGGGTTGCCTGTGTAAAACAGAACTTAAGTTATATTTTTCTATTATAGTTATAATAGAAATATAATAACATAAGTCTATTATTAAACTTTACATGAGCTGAATTTATTTTATGAATTTAGTTTTATATAATCCTACACTGACTATATTATTTAAGTTCGCACATCTCGAAAGAATAAGATCAGAAGTTATTAAAACGAAAATGAAAGGCTGAAATATAACATTAAAATTAATTTATAAATCTAAAACTGAACTAAAAATATAATATTTAAACATGTTAACCAAGTTCATTAAACTGAGAGTAACAGTTGAATAAATATTATTACGGAATTCTAATATCAGAGTCCTATACTGCTAATCAAGTCAAATGTTAGTTATTGAAGCAAAAGAAAAAAGAAGATATTTAATACATGATAAATAAAATAACAAATAATTAAATTTATTAAAAGAATTTTAAAAGCATAAAAAAAGGGGACAGCAAATTCACAAAGCAAGTGGTGCCATCTACAGACAAAGTTAAATTTTAAAAAATGAAAGCATATTTAAAAGGATTTTGATTTAATTAATAGAATCGAATTCGGTTTAGTGAATACGGATTTAAAGATTTTGTTCTCTTTAATAATTGTCGGTTTCAGATTTTTCTTTTTTTTATATCTCTTGTGATGATAATGAAAAGTATGGAGAATCTGCTATTGATAATGAGTAAAAGTAAAGCTAATTCTGTTTGCAGATACTTATTGTTTAAATACTGAAGAAAGTATCCTAATAAAATATTAATGTCGAACGTGTAACATTTAAATATTTTTAAGAAACTAGTAACAGAAATTGCAAGAAATTACAGCAACAAGCTCAGAATTTAATGATAATTTCTTTATATGAAAACAATTAATTAACAAAATAATATTTAAAAGTCTATCTTTGTATATTGTATAGAAAATAATTTTTCAATAATTATTTACTCAGATCGTCACAATTTATTAAATGCATATTGCTTTTTTCTTTCATTGCATGTCTGCATGCCTATTTTCGTGTTTCCGTTTTAACGAATGTCTGCAGATGGATGGTTTAACGGATTCTTGACTCTTTCCATAACACAAAATATTCTTAGTATGTCCTGCTTATGTCGCAATGTCCCCTGCTTATATCGCAACACAGAAGATATCTTGGTGATCTCGAATCTTAAGTGTCCTGAGAATATCTTAATTGAGAAGGTTTTTTTTTAAGTCGCTGCGTCCCGAAATATGCACGAATATCGTGAAGATGTTGGTATTTTATATGTCTTAAGACATCGTTGCTTAACCTCGTAATGATATTTGTGTTGCATTTTTTCAAGAATTCCAAACGTCTTAAGGATGTTTATTCCTAGTTCTTTCAGCGATTTTTGTGTTCCGCATAGGGCGGAAGATGAAGTGAGTGTATATTAGAATGGGTCATTGAAAACTCAGAAGAATGTGACAAATGATATTAAAAAATGTCTTAAGGTTGTAGTAAATAGGACTGAACTTTCTAACATCAAGTACACTTTTGAAAGGACATAGCTTAGACGCCCGAAAATATACTGACGCTAATCATTCAAGAGGATGCATGTGAGAAATCAAGCAGATGTCTAAGATAACATGAAAATTTACACTACCTCAAAAGAAATACTTTCAGAATATTTTTCAAGAAAGCTTTCGTTCTATATGACTTACATCCAGTTTCAATTGTTTGTACATAATATAAGCTTCACTGCTATATCGCTAACAAGCTGACTTATGCCCTTACAAAATGAAATACTTGAAGCTTCGCGTTGTTTTTTGTAATTACTGGTAGACCTTTTAGGTTCATACACACGATGAGCCTTAATATTCAGTTTTCTGAACCTGCAAATACCATAAGGTTTATTGGAGCAGGAAATGATAAATATCAATTATGTCCCAGCAGTTGAAATCGCACTATAGATCTTCCAGTAGCTATCTGGGTATGCTAATTACTTACACCATGAAAGCAAGCACGGGGATAATTCCTTACATTATTATACATTTAACCCATTCAGTGTTATAGTGGATGGTAGATATTGTTTCCTGAAGTGTTAGCCATTTTGTCAATAAACCTTTTGAAAAGCGATGAATATATTTTCACTGAGTACTTCGAAAGCATTAAACAGTTTTCCATCCTCTCCTTACCTCCGCGGAATTATCAGAGGTAGTGATTATCGTACTATCAGTCACTGTCAATCTTTGCCCTTCAGTAGAATACAAGAAGCTTTATGTTCAGCTTTTAAAAAGTGCGACCAAATCTATGTTGTGATAAATTTTCGTCCCCGCAGTTATGTAGACGTTTATATTTTTCGGAATAGGAAGCGTGAAAAATTGGTTTTCTCTCTCTGAGATTAGAATTACATTGTCTTCCATTTGCTGTATGGATTTTCTAATCACTTACATAACGACAGCAAGCACGGTGGTAGGTTCTGATTCCCTTTAAATCTAAGGCCTTTAAAACTGCAATAAAGAATTTCTTCTTCTACTACTTTTAAATAAGTTTTTTTTCCAATTTTGAAAATTTAATATCGTTTTAAAAAGCCGTTATATTAAACATGTTTAAATTTGCCATAATGTAATCTTTTTTTTTTTTTTTTTTTTTTTGCTGTTGTTGTTTTTTTACAGTATGGCCCTTATTTGTTTTGGACGGACTGGCATACGAACTCCATTGAGAGGGTGGACAAAGAAAGTGGTCGAAACAGAACCGTGATACGTGATAATATTGGCTACCTCATGGAAATCAAGATGGTGGCCGCGTCCAGGCAAACAGGTTAAATTAGAAACCTTCTTTAACTTGCCAATGCATGTTTCAAATAAATTCCTGTTTACATGTTTTCAATAACTTGCGTAAATGTTTGGGAAAAAAAAGAAAAGCAAAGGAAAAAAGAAAACAAAATAGCTGCAGATCAATTTATTATTAGTAAACTTGTTTTTAAAAAGTAAACTTGTATTAGTTTTGTTTTTGTTTAGTAAACTTGTATTTTACGCTTTTTCTTTTAATATGCAGTTATAATATTCAGTAAAAACTCGATTTAGTTAGCTAACATAAATAATGCATAAATAATGCAGTCCTGTCTTTGCTGTAGAACAAAAGTCAACTCAAAATTCTCTACAGTAAGGCTACCAAAACTCTCAATAACTCTTCACTGTTCCTTTGGAATTTCGTAATTCCCAGGAATGTAAAAATGAATTCCAACATTAATGGTATTTTGTGCTTTAAAACTATAAGAGTAATCGTCCTGATGTAACAGATGCCATCGAAGATAGATCCTCTAGTCATAAATACATTGCTCGTTAAAGTCAAATAAAATTTAATTCTCATAAAAAATTATATAATAGTCGGATCTCAGTGGAATGCAGTTCTATCAACAAATCGAGGAACATTGGCAATAATACTACTTTGAGTCTTATTTTGTGGAATTTGTGTTCTTCTTTTGCGTAGAAGATGGGCGCAGTAAAATCACCCGGTTATATATTATTATAGGAAACAATTTAATTGGTTTATATTTATTTACATATTAGACTTTGACTGTCTAAGTTTTTAAGCACACTTTACAACTCTTGTATTTGAGATTTTGGGGTGACATGATCGATATCCGTCTGTAGTCCATTTTACTCCACACACATATCGGAAGTAATTGAAGCAATGGCACAGATAATGGAAATTTTGAATCCAGCAACTTTATATGGCAGTGGAAGCGAATACAGCACCTTTAACATATTCCCACCAAGGGGGGGGGGAATTGATGTCCGGCAAATTTGGAGTCCAGTTAAAAAGGATTGTCATTTGATTATTCAAAATTCTTGCATCCTTTGGGCTTGATGTGTATAACGTGGTAGAAAGACCTCACATAGAGCATTTGTAATTAATCAAAGATAAATTTGATATATGACAGATGAAGGTGTGCCAATTAAATTATTTGCTATAACCATTTGTACAAAGATGGTTCTTTTTTACATATTCTATATTACAACTACAGATTCAAGTAGTAAATGCGTGAGCTAATTATGTAACCTATAAATCATTCAGGGATAAGGAACGAAATTTTGCTCACATTCGCAACAATCTCTCTGCGAAGATGGTTGCATTCACGACTACGATTGCTTTCACTGGTTTTAATGAAGATTCTCGTTATTCAAATTATGGCCAATGAAATTCCTGTTAATAATAAATTATTTTTGCTGGTATAGGCCATCAATGTAACATTGCAATACAATGGTGAAGAAAATGTTTTTAAGAGTGCATTTGGATGACAGTCATTGAAGTACATGTTACGAGAGCTTGCCCTTAGATTTCGGTGACACAGAAACACTGTACTCTTCCGCGGGTGATCAAATTTTGGTTTCGAATCGCAATGTAAAAACGTACCTTTTAGGCTGTTTTAAAAAGCGTCAGTTGAAAACAATTAAAACGCTCATTAATGGTGAATTTTTGCATTGAATTGTTTTAAAACATAAACTTTAATAATTATAACTGCTTTAGGCTTCTTAGTGTTTTTAAATTGCTTTTCATTATAGCAATAATAACTTTTAAAAAATGTTTTTCAGAAGGTAAACAAGGAAACATAATAATAATAATACAATTTCTACCTTTACATACTTTTATGCTTTTCTGTGTAGAACTTAGATCATGGCTCATAGTACCATCTGAGTTGCTTACAGGGACTCTGTTCTTAAACTCTTCATGCAGTATGCACTTAGAAGGGCAATGATTAATAAATTTTCAAATAAACTTAGAATAAAGTATGTATACAACTTGCGGACCAAAACATGTATAGACTCCTGCCATGACATGGGATATATCGAAAGAACGTGCTGGCAAACATCGACATCTCCAACATCCATCATATTCTCATAACAAATAAAGATGGCACTTCTTGATCTCACGGCAACAATTTCTGGGTCTTAGAATTTTTTCAGATGTGTAAGTGTATTTGCGAATGTATAGTTTCTAGTGAATATTAAATGCTTGTTTAAAACTATTTAGGTAACTAAGTTTTCCAACCAAGTTCCATATGGATAACTTGCTTCTCAGTGCTTTCTTAGTATTCTTGAACTATACCTGCATTCTCAGATCTGCTTAGTGCCACCGATGGGCATTAGCGCCAACAGTTGGAAATTAATGATCTAAAATATTTATTAAAAAACTAACCTACTATATTAAAGTTCAGTTATGATTCTTAATGTTAAATTCTTGGAACCATTTTAAAACTAAAAATAGTAATTAAAGCTTGGTATTCCTATCATTAATTATTTCTTATTGTGCTGCTCCTGTAGGTAGCAACCCTTGCGGAGAAGGAAATGGCGGCTGCAGCCATTTGTGCCTATTCAGACCCCATGGACACGTCTGCGCATGTCCGTCCTTTCACGACAGCCGACCTTGCTCCACTGGTAAGTTCGCTTTATTTCTTATTAAAATTCAAAATTTGTAATTAATATTAAAATCTTAAATGCTTCATTTCAATATAAAAGCACAGAGCTACTTTTAAAGTAAACTACTTTTATTTTGTCAAAAATTGTTGTACATAAAAAATAACCATTTAGAATATACTTCCGAGAATTTTGTTATGAATTTAAGATATCATAACAAAAATACTACAACTAGATATGCCAAACGAATTAGATTCGAAAGATAACAAAAATTATACCGAGAAATACCATATAAATCGCAAAATATTGTAATTTTTAAATGTTTTTCAAATATTTTCAAAATTTCCAATTACCGTTATCTGTACCATCAGCATTAAATCCATCATGATCCATTATTTGTAATAAGGAACTAATTTCGCCTTTACCTGGTAATCCCAAAGTGAACGGTGGTAACTTGTTGCTTTATACTGAGTAACAAAGCAGAAAAAGTGTACTAAACAGTTATTCTTTTGAAAGGTTTTGAATGTGTAATATGACCTTTAGAAAATCAGTGCTTACACGAGAATTAGGGAATAACAGTCAAACTCCAGGGTCTGTCATAACTTCGAGGATGATTCGGTAGTAACGATCACATTGTAATGAGTTGCAATTCTTGGTTTGTTTTCCAGAATTTCTTTAAAACTCATCCCAGAGAATGAGCTTGCTGCATGAGTGTTTTTCTGGTTTTCCTGATATGTAACGTGAATATGAATCAGCTTCCATTAGAAATGTCTCCCACGAAGACATTCCTCCTGTTAAATAGGTAGTTCTAGCTTGCAGTGCCATAATACAATAAACCTAGATCCATTCCTTAAGAATCCATATCATTTCTTTTTTTACTGTCATTACCTGTTCGTTCATTATAATAATTTCATTACTGGCTTATTAACTTAGAATTTTCTTCGACTTGGTTTAATAGACACAGTCTTTTTGTCAGCAGCATTTGATTTTAATTTGTTAAGTGACATCTTATATTAATTGATATTTCACAAAGGGGAACACAGACAGATCACCTCAGATTTGAAATAAATTTCAGCTAAAAATTCTGCATAGTTTATAGATAAAATTCCGAAATTTTTGTTTAGAGAAAACAAATTGGCCAAAGATATGAACTATAAGTGCGAAACTCGTAAATGCGGCATTTGTAAAAATTTGAAGAGTTTTGTAAATAGAACATTGTGATAGAGAAAATATTAGAAGAGCACTCTTTTTCTCTCACTATCGCATCTTTTAAAACAAATGGAAATTTATTAGAAAAATTTACTGTGCTGTAGCTAATCATTAGCTTTTTATCTACAAACAAAAAAAGGAACGATTTTCATGAGTTAATAAATACTTTTTTTTTAAACGTAAATTTTTGTTCATTTTTTATTGTAGTTAAAAAAAAACTAATTATCTTGCGTTTTCTTTTGCAGTGCCTGGGGAAATTTTACCTGAGCCGACCAAGAGTGCCAGTACGGAAGATAAAACGACTTTCAAGGAGTCAACTGTAACTACTTCTGCCCCAACGAATAATAGCAATCGGTAATTAATATTTTTCCTGAAGACATTTCCTGAGTAATAGTATAAGATGCCATCTCTTTTTAATTTATAGTTGCTATCTGTGTTTTTAATCTTATACAGAATAAATTAACCTAGTTCATCGCTTCTAGTTTTAGTTTAAAACAGCACTCACAGTTTTAGTTTCAGTGTTTTCTCTGTTCCTGATTTTAATTCATTACTTTCGTTAACGAATTCACTGAAAACAAATAATTAAATAAATTAAAATGGATCTTTATTATAAAAAGTATGACAGTAGATAGCTTGTAAAAAAATTCAAACCAGAGTTTCAAAGAACATACCTCAGCTTTTCTGAATTGAAAAATATTTCTAAATTTCAATTTGTGCGTTAAATAATCAAGTCTCTTATTTGAAATATTCTGTAACTGAGCAAAATATTTTATTTGAGCAAGAGATATGAAAAATTAAGAAATAAAATTCGAAATATGGATCTTTCTTTTTCTATTTGGTCGTGCATGAACGCACTCATGGCATCATGGGGAAGAACGGGTTTGAATCCCTCCATTCTTCATGAGACATAATTGAATAAATCCAGGTGGTGACGAATCGTTCAACGCATATTTAGTCTGCTCGAAACTGTAGTGATTCCGAAGTCTTTTAAAAATAAGAACGTGAAAATACTGTTTGCGAGGATTCGAGCCACAAATCTTCCATTTGCTATTTCAACATATGCTGAGATCCAAGCAGCATGCACGGGGAAAATGTGATAAAGGTTTACAAGACAAAGTGCGGAAGTAAGTACCTGAACCGTCGAAACCAAAACACCTCAAGTTTCTGGGCTCTTCAAAGCTATCCTTTACTAACGCGGAAAGAAGTGATGATCTCTTTAACAGGTACGATTAATTCAAACCTTACATATTTTCTAAAATGATGCCATATAAGTCATGATGACATTGTGTAAATGAAGTAAAATCAATTTAATTCAGGAAATTAAAAATAAATATCCAGAGCTCACCTCGGAAGATTTGGAATGGATTTAACATAAAATTACATGCATAATAAAATCAACATTTAATTACTACGCCCAAAGGGACTTTTTTTACCGTTTTATGTGCTGTCTTTATTTATTAAATATCATGTTCTTCGCATTTAAACCATAAAGTTCAATTCAACAGCAATATCGCAAAATAATTTTAGAATGAGTATATCTTTAGAATTTCTGATACACAGTTTCACGCTTTGGAGACAAAAATGTTTTTTCTGTACAACGTTGCCATTGCTTGCTTAGAAATGCTTGAGTTTGTTAATAAAAAATTCGTTAAAAGTTTTACAAAAATATGAAATTGATAATAAAACACATTTCAAATTCCAAATTTGCGCTTCCAGATGCCCATATTTAGTGGAAGATTACGTTATTCAAAATTTGATGGCTCTAGGTACAGTTGCTTTATCACAATGCGAGAAATATATTGTTACGTTTTTCTTATTCTTCTGACACCAGTTGTTGCGTTATTTTCTTCCTTAACGTTCGTACGGGGTTTGTAGATTTGGAGTGAAAAACGACGACACTTGATGAAGCACCGAATAACACACTTTATTTAACCAATACTGCTCAGGACAGCTGCAAAACACGTTTTACAGTCGTCGATGAACTACTGTAAACACGTTGATACGATCAGCGACACAGCCTTCAAGTTATCAGGATATCACGGTGGAGACAGCTTCCTGGAAAGCACCAGACTCTACTTTCCGGAGTACAGCTCCCGACTCAGCTTGGTCGTTCTCGGAACAATAACAAACAATAACAACAAGCAATCAAAAAAAGGTAAATGTTGCACAAATTACTACTATTGCAACACTAGACACAAAATAAAGATGAATCAATTAAGCAATTTGTTGAATGCGTCTACCCTTACATATGCATCGATAGGACGTATTTTCGTGCTTAAATAAGATAGAAGAGAACACCAGAGATGCACTCCTGCCCTGGTTATAACTTTCGGCCAAATAAGACAGTGTGCTAGGAGGAAAGGGCACTCAGACCTGACTCTCGGTGCTTAACACAGTAAACGCCCCACCTAGAGGCATCCAGAGGCCGGCTACCTGTCGGTCGAGAGACTAGGAGACTAAGCTGAGTCGATATGAATACTCAGCAAACTCACATTCCACGTCCCCGTATTGGAGGGATGGTAAAAACATCTGCCATCAACAGGAGCCCTCAACCCCGGACAGCAGAACGAATTCACTTAAACACTGTACACAACAGACTGAGCCATCAATCCGGCCGCTAACACTACATCATGGTATACAGATGTCGGCTTTAGGCGTCCCCAGGGCAAATCAAGGAAGGATATGAATATGTAATTTTGAGGCTACCGGTGCCCAGTAGAAATCTCGAGGCTCTCTGAATTCACTAACTCCAGCAACGGGAATGTTTCGCCCCGGACAACCATAGATATGTAGCTCAACCACAACCAGCCGAACGGACGAAAACGCCATATGGTCCCTGCCGAGGCTGAAACAGCCATCGTTAGCGATGACTGCAGTCCTGTGGAGACTGATTTTAAACACCCGTGGCCAAGACTGCCTACGTACAGATCTTAATCAGTATTTTCCTAGGTTTTACCTGAGTCGACCTCCGAAGGGCGTTCAAATAAGAAAAGAACTTTTCTGTTCAGACAGGCAGCGAGACAACTGTTTGTTTTAATGATTGCCCGGTGCCTTTTTGACTCGTCGCCGTCGTGCGCCGCACGACCTCGCACCTATTGTCGGCCCGGGCCTGCATCTTGGCACATTTATTATGCCTATTCCAAAAAGCTTACATATTTGATAGATTTGCAAAGCAATCAACGCAGCTAAACCAAAGCGGTGAGAGCAAGGGCGTTATGTTCAGAGTGAAATCTTAATTCAGACTGAGTTAGTTTTGGTTCTCAATGCATTTTTATTGGATGGTTAATATTGCTGTAAAATTACTTACGGTTGTTTGAGTTTTAGTTTCATTTACACTATCAAAATGATGTAAGACTCATATGACATATTTTTCTCGAAATGACGCAGTGCAAATAGAAGTTACTATTTTTAGATTACAGAAGGGAATTAATTTTCTCTGCTTATTTAATCTTTTACATATTCTTTATTTTTCTTACATACATTTATGCAGATTCTTCGTTATTTAATTTCTTTAAATATTATACAGGGCTCTAATATTTGGTGGCAGCAATTTGAAATTGAACCAATATTTGTAGTGAACCAACCTAAAATGCCAAAAAGAAATTAATAGCCCTTTTGGGCTAATACTTTCAGATTCTACATTACGCCCAAAGGGGTGTTTTTTTAACGTTTTGTATGTTACCTTTATTTATTAAATATCATGTTATTCATACTTAAATCATAAAACTCAGTTCAACAGCACGATCTCGAAATAATTTTAAAATGAGCATATCTTTAGAATTTCCCATACACAGTCTCGCGCGCTGGAGATTGATTTTTTTTCCCCCATATAGTGCTGCCATTACTTGCTTTTAAATTGTTGAGCTTGTTAATCAAAAATTCGTTACAGTTTTACAAAATATGGAATGGATAGTAAAAGAAATTCCAAATTATGCCCATATTTGGGTGGAAACGTACGTTATTCAAACTTTGATGGCTCTAGGTATCATTGTTTTATCACAATGCGATAAACATTTTTACATTTATGCAGATTCTTCTTTATTTAATTTCTTTAAGTATAATACAGGGCTCTAATATTTGGTGGAAACAATTTGAAAAGTGAACCGACATTCTAGTGAACCAACGCAAAATGCCAAAACGCAATTAATAGCCCTTCTGGGCTAATGCCCATTGGGCTAACAATTCCATAGCAAAGAAGCTTTTGTCAATGAGTTCAAATGAACTTGCAAATTTTCATTTAATGATCATGTAACATGAGTTATCCAGTCACAGAAAATCAATAATTTTACTTCAAGATCAGGAACTTGTAAAACGTCTGAAAATTCACGAAGAGAATGTTGGCCAAGTTAAATGCTTAGGCGATTCTTGCAGGTGGAAAAACTAGCTAAAATATTTTAGACATTTTAAGCTTTAGACCAGGGATTCCCAACTTTTTTCTTGTATCGACACCTTACAAAGAATTGTTTTTTTTTTTTTTTTTTTTTTCATTTACCTTTTACATTTTCTCCATAATATACAGCCTATATCATAATCGTAACGGTGGGGGGGGATCAGTAGTTAGCTTGTAATGTTCAAGTTACAAGGTATTTCTTCCGAATCTTTAGCGTGCCTTCGTAGTGTGATGCTCTGCACGCTGGTTGCGTATTTCAGAGGTTTGTGGTTCGATTCCAGGCGAAGGTGTGGCTCATTTTTCATCACTCCTGCTTCCAAAACAAAAAAAACCTAATGTCTCTAAACTGGCGCCTAAACTAAGAGGGTCGTGGATGATGATTCTCCTCACCTAGGATTTGGCGATTGAGTCCCCTAAAACCCCAATCGACTTTTAAAATGGGGAGTATATAAGGTATTTCTCCCGCTTTCTTAGCATGCCTTCGTGGTGTCGTTGTTTACACGCTGGGCGCGTATTCCAGAAGTCCGTGGTTCGATTCCCGGCGAAGGTTTTGCTAATTTTTCATCTTTCCTGCTTCGAAATAACATAATGTCTATACAAGGTTAGATGGAAAAGGTATACAATTATAGTGATGATGTAACTGACATTTGAGCATAACTTCTATTAACAAGTTTTCGACGGCCGCCATTGGGAAAAGAATAGGGGCAGGTTTTGCGTCTACTCGTTAGTTTTGATTCGTATTTTTTGTGTTATCGAGTTTTACTTTTATACTGAACTAATTGCTTAAAAAAAGTTTATATTATAAAAAAAAATAATTATTGAGAAAAAAATATATTACATAATTTTTCTGTACTTTCACCTGTTAATTATTTTCTGTGATATATTCCATATTACATTCTATAGATTTAGAGCAATAAACACTTAATTATCAATTTTGTCAATAAATTTTATTTCATCAATGAGATCTTGATTATATCGATCATTTGCCGTTACATATTCGGCTATCGACCCCTTGCCTATCAAAGACCTCCTTAAACTTCATCGACCTCCCAGGAGGTCCATACCGACCGCGCTGGGAACCCCTGCTTTAGGCAATAACATGATCACGATCTATGCTGTTGCCAAAAGTGATCAAATTATTAATTAACAATATATAAATTTTTATATGCTGTATATAACATTTAAGGGCATTTAATGTACTATTGTTGCAAATATAGGAAGCATTAAAAAATTGGGAGGATAAGATGAGCAAGAAAATCTTCAAAAATGGGATAGTGAGCCAAAACCATCCAGAAGACAGTTGTAGAGTGATTCAGACTTTTTCGATATCAGGAAACTGAAAAATGTGCAATGTTCTCGCTGGAATTCGACTTCCCGATTGCCAACCGGACGTTTTACTGAGTTACATCACGGAGGCACGCGAAAAGGCAAAATAAAATACCTTGTATACTCTCCCTTTTAAAGGGCGACTGCGTATAGGAGAACCCAGTCGTGTATCATAATAATCCAGGTGGTATCGAATTATCCTCTACCACCTTTTAGTTCGAGCGCCACTTCTAGAGTCATTCAGAATTTTTCTCTGTCAAGAAAGTGAAAAATGTAGAATGTCCTCTTCTGCATTAGAACACCGGGCATCTCGATTGCTAGCTGGGCAGATTATCCAGTTACACTGCAGAGGCACACAGAAATCAAGTGCGGAAACACATTTGAGTAAAAATGCCTGGGGACTAAGACAGCATGAACAGAGAAAAAGGCAACCAGAAAATTTAGTTCTTCCGATTCCACTTTGAAATTATTGTAGAATTTTCAGGTTTTCTCTTTCCAATTTCTCAGAGATTTCCTTTCAAATGGAGTTTCCTACTTATGTCATCTTTATCACTTGGCATTATCTCTATATTTCCAACTTTCTTTACTTGTATCATTATTTCCAGTGTTCTCACTTTTAAGTGTCTCTTATCGTAGATTGATATTGAGTTCTTTCCTCCCATTTGCGTAGGTGTCTGTCATGGGAGTCCGCAGAAAATGCTGTAGGCAGAGGGCAAAGGTTGGAAACAAATAATTACATCAATTCAAACACACATATTTTATACTGTTTCAAGAAGAGCAAGTACCTCATCTGCAGACTTTCATGATGTTTATCCTATTCCTATTTTTCTTATTAACGATTAAAATATCCTATTACATCCGAAATATCGATATTCTCATGTGTTCTAAGATAAATACCTACACACATATAAACAAAAATTTAAAAATTTCAAATTACGATTACATTTTTTTACGATAAATTTTAAAGTCGCTGAATATATTGCGAAATTCATTACATAATCAAGAGATGATAATTAAATAAAGAATTAATTATAAATTATATGTGCATTAATATATAAGTAGCACTATTTAAAGCTATTACATTCCCCTTTCGATGCTGAAATATTATTTTAAGAGTAGAATATGATTTTATAAGTAACACATACCTATAAAACTACTTCTGCTGGATTTTCCTTCTTGTCTTATTTATTTATAGAGGTATCATATATTTGCGACTCGTATTTTTATTTTCATTCTAATTTATTTTTGTAATAGAAAGAAGCTAACATGTTAAGTCATATTTAAAACACATTCCTTTGTGCTGCATGCTATTACACTTGCATAATTAGAACAGTTCCCTTTCAGATGCGTGTATTAGATTAAATTGTGGTTATTTCACAAAGACTAAGTGCATTTAAATAAATTTACTTACTTTAAACTTAATTGTTTAGTAAACTGTGCAATATTTTTCTATTAGGTGTACAGATATAGATATGCAGTTGGGAAGATGTCATATCATCGGTTTTCCTCCACCTGGTAAGTAATACGATTTGCTTTTTCCAGGTGAGTATTTTTTCCAACTCCTTAAATATAGGTTATTGCCTGAAGAATATCTTATCATTTCATTGTATTACATTTATATGGATGCTATTTCAAAATATCGGTATGTTTATAAAGCAGCTCTACCCAATATGATACATAAAATTATATAGATCTTTAAAATACTGAACCTTTTAAAAATATACTTTTCTCGCATTTTCTTAAAAGTTCTTTCTTCTAATTCTTTAGTATTATTGTTAGTTTTATGTAATTTCTAAAACCTTTTCAACAACTTCATGTATTATAACGTACCAATTATTGAGTTCTGTTTTATTATTTCTCTGAATACATTTAGTACTCGGTAACTTTTCGCTATGTTTCAAAAATGCCATATTCCCTTTTAGATCCAGTCCTTCAAACTGCCTATATAGCCTTGAGTGTCATTCTTCTAATAGTAGGACTTGTTTTAACAATAGCACTCGTATTTTGGAAAAAAAAGTAAGTGAAAACTTCTTTTTCATATTAATCTCTTTTCTAAATGGGCTATTTCTTCCAAACATTGATATGAGATAATCAAAGCAATGTAGAGCTTTGCTACCGTTATTCAAGTAAGCGTAATTATTGTTGTAAATTATATAATTAAATAATAAAAAGGATACCCTAATTCCATCATATCGAAGCGTGGCGTAGCATCGTAAATAAAATAATTTTATATTCATTCGATAATTGCAGAAAAAACAAATGCTGAACATTTACCACGTGTACATTCATAGGCATTATTATATAATAAATTAGTGTAGCATTATAAATTAAAAACCCATTCCGACATTTAATAATCACAAATAAACGATTATTTCCACAATATTACAGTACAGCATTATTATGTAGCATAATGATATAGCGTTAGAAATTAAAATCTCTTTCTTACATGGAATATCTATCATTTCATTTTTTTCTAATAGCACTAAAAATCTGAATTGTGTGTTGGTATCTATAGTCAGTCACATTCAGTTATTAAATTTAAATGCAAGATACTTCAAATATTGTATTCATTGCGTTGATATTACATTATATGTGTAAATTATATTGATATTGATTTTGCGTTGATACTGTTATTCTCATTGACATTATTATTGATATTGATATTGTGATTATAATTTTATCGATATTTATATTGTTATAATATTATTATTATATTATATTATATTTAATATAGTATTTTTATTCATTTATTATATTGTAATATATTTATACTGATATTTCATTATATTATATTGCCATGTGCGTATCAAATTGGTTTGCAAATCGTGGTTTTTCTGTGTTTCATTATTAGATGGATTTATTATCATTATTAGGTCCATTTTTAGTTAGTTCATTAAATTCAAACCTCATCAAATATTTGTTAATTTATTCGAATTTAATATCTTCAGCTACGAAATATCTGTGTTTGGTAACGATTATAAAAATAACCGAATTAAAGAATACTCGTTCTAAATTTCAGCAAAAAGCGCCGCCATGAGGAGTTGGAAGCCACGTTTACCTTCTCCAACCCTACATACAGTGCCTCCAACGGGGATGGCGTCCCCACAGATCGAAACGTCTGGCCATGGAAGTCCCAGCACAGAAATAACAAAAAACAGGTATCTTTTAATAAATTAAAAGATACAACTTCACCTAGTTTCCAACACATTAGTATTCATGCGTAGTATAAAAGTTTATAAAGGAAATATAAGTTGGAAAAACAGAATATAAGTAGCTGCAAGAAATGTATATAGTTTTTAGGCCAAAAGAGAAAACATAGTCTGTTACTAGCAACCGACAACTAATAGGAAAATTTTAAACAATTAGTGCATCCTTATTAAAGTTGTTGAATGGTAAAGACACTCAACTAGTACAAAATCTCCTACATGGGCAGCATTCCTCAAGAATGCATTATGAATTCGAATCCATGCGCTTTTATGAAACAGGAGATATGTACCGAATTGTAGTTTAAAGCACAGAAACTTTTGTTCCCTGTACTTGAAGCTAAATTCTAACTTTAATTGTAATGCATTGGAACAATTTAAAAGAAAACATACTAATACCAAAAAGCTAACTTTTATCGATTAGAGGAATGGCTCAAGCATTGTCGGTTTGCGGCTTTCTTGGTGCATCAGAACTTTGTTTTTTAGAAGCTTTAACTCCGAAATAGTCCTAAATATTTATGATCTTAGCTGTATAATTTTCGCGAAAATAATTTTCAAATTGGTTTGTAAGACGACAAGTTGTTTTCAAAAACAGTAGGTTGCGCAGTATCTGTTAGATGCCTTTCTTATCATAGCAGCAACACATCGATGGGCCAGTTCTAAAACTTTCGTGGACGAAGTATTCTATGAAAACTTTGTACTTTGCTAGGTTCCTCCAATCTACCTATTGTGCCCACCTATGAACTCTCCTTTAATCTACCTATTGTGTGTGTACGTCGCAATAATTCTTGCAAGCAGTTATAAAATTCATATCGCTTGATATGATCACGAGCTCTAAATGTTGCAACATCTGCAAAAGACATTGTTTCATTTGACATCATCCTAGCAAAATCGTCCAAATTTTTGCCTGTGTATGCAAAGTTCTAGGCTAATACAGTTTGTTAATTTTTCTTCGCTACGCCCAAAAGCTCTCTCTATTTCGGGTGTTTTGCCCTTTTAGGGGTATATATAAAGTATAGATTACGACTATTCTTTGTCTGTCACTACCATCACACCATACTGTGTTGGATTGGAGGACCTGTATCATACTGCCTTTAAAATGCATTTCGCACAGATTACATTCATTAATAAGAGAGTTATAGTAGTCGGAATTAGAAGTTCTGTGAATAATGAACCTGTAGAGACATTAGGTTATTTCGAAACAGGAGAGATGAAAAAGGAGCAATGCTCTCAGCGGGACTCGAACCACGGATCTCTCGAATACGCGCCGAGTATGCTGACCATTACACCACGAAGGCATGTTAAGATGTTAAGAAGGCGGAACAAATACCTTATATGCTCCACCTTTTAAAGGGCGACTGGGAATTAGGGAATCCAGCCGCCAAATCCTGGTGGTGGAGAATGATCATCCACTAACCTTTTTAGTTCCGACGCCATTGTAGAGGCATTAGGTTATTTCGAAATAGGAGAGATGAAAAATGAGCAATGTCTTCTCCGGGAGTCGAACTACGGATCTCTCGAATACGGGTCGAGTATGCTGACCATTACACCACGAAGGCATGTTAAGAAGGCGGGAGAAAACTCGTTGCATATTTTAAAACACAAAACGCCTTTTGCTGTAATTCGCCATTTTGTAAATGAAACTCGTACCTACAACAAGGTAATTATCTAGCAAAAACCACATCTGCATCCATATTCATCTTATAACAAAAAAAATGATGCTTCTTGACAAAAGGAATCATGACAAAAGACAAAACAATGACATGACAAAACAATGACAAAAGAAAGTTTGCAGACTCAAAATTTAAGGGTTTTTTTTTTTTTCATTACGAGAATATAAAAATTATGCGCCACCTATAATTTGGAAAATATAGGACATTTAAACTCCGATGATTTATTTATAAAATCTCCGTACCATGACACCAATCAGTGAATCTTTTGGGCATATTGTTTAATGCAATGAAATCCATTTACGCAAATATTAGAAAGGCATGTATAATTTACTCATTATCAATATGAACTCAGGCTCTATTGTACTTCCAACAAATAGATGCCAAAATTTAATTGTCACCTGAAACGTAAACTCTGCTGATTTGTCTAAAATTGCAAACGACAAAGCTCAATCGGTTTTCAAATATTTCCCCCTGACTTATTCAGGTTGAAATGATTACTTGTCAATAATTTCAGAGAACAATTGTTGCAATCGATCATGCCATTCCTCTGCTTGTCATAAATTATCAATACTATGTAGCATTTGAAAATGCCCTTACGCAGTCATTTCGGATCGGCGCAGAATGTATAATAATTCTCCTAAGGTAAGGGATTTGTATGATAATTAAAGTGGTAGGTAGGTTTACTATCGTTAGCATGATACCGGGTGAAGAATTTACGATGCTTAGATAGGAATGTTAGTTTCAGGTTCTCTGCAACATTTCTGGTACCGTAAATAATGAGCAGAGTTGGCATTCCATAAAAATTAAACATACTAATAGTTAATTCACAGCGATATGTATTTTTATTGTACTGTCACTTGGTAAAATAACTTATATAGTGCCCTTCGAAAATCGACGCCTTACGCGGATGCCTATGTCGCATATACTTGGAGCTGGCTCTAAGATTATTTCCAATAAAAACTTTAACAAAAAGGTGCTTGAAGGAGATGATTAAATATTTTATTTCTTCAAGCGTTGAACCTAGGCAAAGAACACCCAGTTACATTCATTAATAAGAGAGTTATAGTAGTCGGAATTAGAAGTTCTGTGAATAATGAACCTGTAGAGACATTAGGTTATTTCGAAACAGGAGAGATGAAAAAGGAGCAATGCTCTCAGCGGGACTCGAACCACGGATCTCTCGAATACGCGCCGAGTATGCTGACCATTACACCACGAAGGCATGTTAAGATGTTAAGAAGGCGGAACAAATACCTTATATGCTCCACCTTTTAAAGGGCGACTGGGAATTAGGGAATCCAGCCGCCAAATCCTGGTGGTGGAGAATGATCATCCACTAACCTTTTTAGTTCCGACGCCATTGTAGAGGCATTAGGTTATTTCGAAATAGGAGAGATGAAAAATGAGCAATGTCTTCTCCGGGAGTCGAACTACGGATCTCTCGAATACGGGTCGAGTATGCTGACCATTACACCACGAAGGCATGTTAAGAAGGCGGGAGAAATACCCTATAAACCTATCAGTTTGATACGTTTCAGTTTCATGTACAACAAAAAACTTCGTCTTTTTTCGTAATTTTTATTTTTGTATTAATAAGTTTAATACAATAAGTTTCATACATTTTGTGTGCAAAATTCACGAAGATATTAGAAAACCAAAGATTGTCTTACGTCGTATATAAAACCTTCTTTCAGCAAAAATAAAATTAATACTGATTGGCCTCATGTACACGTGAAGTACATACATCTCTGCAAATTTTGGGAGCAGAAATATTTAAAGTAAAAATGTTTAAATTTTTTTAAAACTCAAGAAAAACATAACTGATATTTTACTACCAGAAATTTGCTTTATAGTGACCATACAAAAATTTAATTTTATGTTTATAGAACCATAACAATTACTCTAGCTTAAAATTCTCGCTTTACTTCGAGAAACATCGTGTTGAAAGTAAATGCCTTTGAACTTATACATTGGAAGCAATATTGCTTAACGAATCTGTTTATTGGAAGCCCATGCTTAAATCAGGTAAAGTCTATAGCTGCTTTCCTTGAAATGCACCTCTTTTTTTAGAATTTATACGATGGTCAGATAAATTATATTTTACAACAGCATTATTTGTTATTTCTTTTAAAATGGCTGGCATAACTTACAGTTTAATAGCATATCGCGTATAGTAGTGACGGTAGCTTTATCTGTCTAGGCCGATCTTATTAATTGAAACCAAGTTAAGTTTCTTGCAGTTGCACAAAGAGGTGGCATGTGGTTTCTGCTATTTCCTTCACTTGAGATGCAATTTAGAAAAGTTCTCTGTGAAGGCCTCTAACTTCTTATGTAGGTGGTCTATAAATGTTTGGTCTTGATTAAATAATAAACTTATCTGTTCGGTTTAATCCTTTAACGTATTTTGGATAAAAATATGAGTGTTTTTGGCTTTACTTTTGACAAATTTGCATATGCCAAATAGAATCAGTAGCAAGTATTGGGCGTTGTTTTACATGTGCCGGCACAAACCATCATCATGAGTATATGATAAAGTATAGTATAATAGTCGAAATATTATGTTGTTCTGGAGATATTGCAATGTTGATGTTTATACACCAGTATGTAGAAAACTATCTTTTATTTAATAAATAATAGGCATGTATCAATTCTGCTTAAACATGTATTGAAAGAGCATTTTGTGACTTACATAAAACTACTTCAGGTGGCCAACAGCAAGCTCCAGACTAAAACGAAATTTTGAAATTTTTTAACTTGGCGATATTGAAAGTTGTTCTCGTTGTTTCCATAAGTAACCACAGTAACTAATTGGAAAGCATATCCATATATATTGCTGGATTGCTTTGAGCTCCAGTTTCCTATAGGAACGTTCATTCTCCCTCTCTGTGTACCAACGACTTTCGTTCATACTTGAATAAATTTGAAGAATTAATTAGGATAAACATCATCATTCATTGCATTTTATCCTAGATGATCGTCTGGGATGGAATGCACGTAATTCCATCTGGACAATATCCTGCGGGAAAGACTCATGAAGAACTAAGTGTACGCAAGTCAGTGCATAATTTAGAGGTCTTATTGGACAGAATGTATGCTATATTCAACAATTTGCTATCATAAATGCTTTTCAGAAAATGTCCTAAAAATTCAGGTGCCTTTTTATGTGGAGTAACGTCAAGGTGTATTAGACGTAGAGTCTGATATTTTGTGAGGAAGAAAAAACGTTTGTAGTAAATTGTATAATATTAAGAATATAATAATTTCTGTCACTAAATAAGAAAGAATAACATGCTAAAATTATAACTTTCAAGATCTGATACTTAAAATCTACTGTTCCTCATTCTTAAAATTTGCTAATTCTTTATCAGGAATTTCAACGAGATTTAACACTATTTTTGGAAGTGATTGTATAAAGGAAGGTTAGTTATTAAATTTAAAATTAGTCATAGAAGAATAATTCTGAATTTGATGCATTTTCAATAATTAATTGCGAGGATGGGCAAAGTTCAATATATCTGGAAATAAATCTTTGAAATTTTATTTGGATGTATTTTTATTTAATGTCTAGAGAAAATCGAGAGCTAACAGCAAATCTAAAACTTTCATTGTTTTCGAGAGTTTTCGAGATGTTTTTGTAAACTTAGACATGCATTAGCTTTAAATACTAATTGCTAATCTTTTTGCTATTGAAAAGTGGGTTGCTTATTTTCGTTTGGTAACTTCAAGTAGACAAGTAATCAATTAACTTAGTTATTATCTTGAAAGCCTTGTTATGTTTTAATCACGAGTAAGTTATTTTTCAGATTTAATGTAAATTCTTCTTCTTTGAAGTAAGCAGAACAAAAGCTCATTTATACATTTATTTTAGTTATTTATAATATTCTTATGATTTTAGTGAGGATGCCCTCAACCATTATCCTATGATGTTGAGTTTTCGCAATTATTAATAAAAAATGAACTATTATTCATAGTTTTATTCTCAATTAGAATTTCACATGAGATTATTCAATATATATTTTTACTAATTTAAGTTGTACTGGATAATGAAAATGTATTTTGTAATTATTTTAATGTCAGTTTTAGCTCTCTAAAAACAAAATTCTATATTTTGTTTATACATGGCTCCATATGAGGCATATAAAAATTAATCTAATATATAGAGCTGAAATAAAGTAGTTTACTTTTTACTGCAAAATGGCGCTGATTCGTTTATTAATATTTTTTCATTAAGTTGCAAAATATTGTAAAAAATTCAAATTTAATCCTAAATCATTGTAAAACACTAAGTTAATGTTAATTTACCTAACTAAACATTAGCTTTCAGCATATTTCATATATTTTCAGCAGACTTCATATATTACAAAATCATTTTAGACTCGAGTAAACAAATGCAGAGTATAATGAATTGAATCACGATAGTTTATCAGATCTGCAGCAGAAGACAGAGATAGTTAAGGCATTTAAGCTCCTATAGTTATCTTTCCACTAAAAGCATATGTTAGCGAAGACAAAAATCAGTAATATATAACTTATAAAAAACCACCTATGATGTATTGGCACTTTTAATCTATTGTTTGATAAAAGACAAGAGTTATCGTTTGTATCTGAGCCGCGACAAAGTTCGTAGACCTGTCTGGCTGAGATCAGGAGGATTGCTAATAGCAGTAACAACAAGAACGCTTTTTAAATCCATGACACACTACTAATAGTATTTTATGTAGTGGCAAATTTTCATCTAAGGATGTTGCTTCATGTAAAGAAGAATATTTGAGGGGGGGGGAAAGAAAACTAAAGAGTAGAATGGGCTGTGAGCTTCTCGAATCGAGAAGGAGGTGCATTGCTGTTGCTCTTGTATTTGTCCATCAGTGATAAACCAGGTAAATCTGCTGGATACTCCTAACTAGATTGGATTTGAATATTTACGCTTGGTTTCATGAAATTTTTAATTTGACAGAGATTGATAGACAATTTTATTGCGATGGGTATATTAATAGAAAAGCATTTTAAGTTTTAAATTACTCCTAAAAACATTTTCTGGCTAGTTAGTGAAATTGCTTCAGTCACAGTTTCTGTATTTGACCTTAATCTGACAGTCTTCATATGGCTGTTAATTCTCAACGCAAGATGCTTCATATCGACTATTAATACTCAATACAAGGAAATGATGCTAAATTATATGTTTTCATACACGGGAAACAAGAGTGTGAAGCGCAATCGAATGCATTTGTATGATAGTTCAAAATTTGAGATGGATACTTTTGGTAGATTTTAGGATTTCTTACACAAAATAGCATCGATATTTGTATTCCATTTCATTAAAATAGAGGTTTCACATGCGACAAATGAGGTATAACCACTGATGGCTTTGTCAATGCTCGGTTTAAAAACGTATTAGTAACTTTTTCTACCAGAAAATCATTAGCCATCAAGCCAGAAAATGCATTTGTGTATATTTAATATTATACTATTACTACTTTACGCTATTAAACTGAAATGTCTAATATGAAACTTAAGAATGTAACACTTATATGGGATTAACTCTAATTCTCAACTAGTCAAATACAACTTCTGTTCTTCAGGTGTTACACTGAAACTAACCTAGTGAGTTTTCATTACTAGTTCAGAGACTGAAAATAAATGTACTCAAATATGCAGTTTAAATTAAGTGTATTTACAACGTTACTTGTAAGGGTTAAACTAAAAATATTACAGCACAAAGTTATTTTGACACCTGACGATTAACACAAAACCGACTTTTAAATATATTGGAAGTAACATATGTAATTACTTCCTAACACAGGCTACAAATGAACGTTTCGACGACTAACAGCTACTCAAAATCTTAAATTACCAACCAATTGTGCTGTAACAAGCAGCAGCCGCTATTAGCAAAGTGACAAGCTGGATGGCATTCAGCCAACGTAAATCTAATCTACCATATGGTTACGAGATATTCCTTTAAAATAAAATGCTTGTCACCCAAATCTGCATAATCTCTGTCATGGACTCTACCGTGACGAAATGAGACAATAGGAAAGGTGTGAATTAAAATCAGCTTTGTTAGTTAAAACCCAAATTTAGTGCCACAAGACGAATTCATGCAAGGCAAAATAGTAACGTCACAGCACACACGCGTTGTCTGGGTTATATTAAGAACACATTAGCTTTTAGCACAAGCTTTTGATAAAGAATTAATTCATAAGATCTGCATTGATACTATTCTAACAACATTGCTATAAAATCAGTTTTATAATCAGCTATATATTATTATGAAATCATTCCGCAAAGTGTTAATAGCCGTTATCGATAAATTATAAAACGTATTGCTTTGCAATGTGCTATTATATCATTTCATATTAATGGTAGTTCTGAACTTCCACAATAATCTAACTTTTGCCAATGTTTTCTTCCAGGCTAGAAAGATGGCTCTTTGTAAAGAAGGAAAATTAAACCACCTTGAAGTCTCCTCTCTTTATCGCAACAAATTGCCGAGCTTAGCTCTTCCCCCACCAGCACCGCGCCAGAGAATAGACAGCAGGCAGGGCTTTGGACCAGGTGCCAGTCCCTGCAAAGGGTCTATTGCACCACCCAGTGAACACAGCACCGTCACCTTCCATACAGTAGAGACGGATATATGAGCTATCTGCCTGTTACTTTTCCCTGGATTGTTTTTCATGGATATCGATTAATCGATTAGGGAATCGTTTTTACGATAAACTGTCATGTTTTCGTACAGGGCAGATCGGTTTCTGCAAGCTGGATATGAAAAAGAAACAAATCTATATAATGACGGTCCAGCTCAAGGTAACCGACCTATAATTGCAATCGATGCACACCAGATTTGCTTCAGGGATCATGGCTAATTTCTTAGACTTTTTTGAAAATGTTAAGCAGGGATGTGCTGCCAATTAAAAATTGTATTGCATCCATATGGGAATTAAAGTAGCCTGCTAAGGTAATGGTTGAAGTTTTGCAGAATATGTCACATATGGAACAGTTTTGAATTTCATGATATAGAAGTTTCGAAAGTTCCGAAAAGAATCTCTTAAGAATCGTTTTAAAAGCACTAAATATCAGGTGATTTGTCAATGTTTCGTGTAATATTCTGGTATCTGTCCACATTTAATTGTAGGCTTGACTTTTTTGTACGAATAACTGTACTGCAGACAGAGTCTTTGGTCACACTGGCTGCAGAAATTATTTTTAGCATCGTGGAAATTAATAAACAAAAGAAAAAGTAAAACGTTTAGAAACTGCATTATAAATTCAAGCAAAAATTGCTGACTTTAAATTTTAAAAGAAATTTTATGAATTTTCTTACTCCCTTATGACAGAAAGTTTAAAATAGAGTGACCCTCATTGCAGTTATCATTCCCGTTCTCCAATTACTTACGTTCACCATACAGATTTCAGTTATACACTTAAAGAACTTTGATTAAAAACAAGCTGTGATCTAGAGTCCTTACAATATAAAGTCAAAAGTAAAGATTAAAAAAAAAGCACAGGAATTAAATAGACATAGACATAATCTTAATGAAATTCTGTGAGAATTTAATAGATAATTAAGCCACTGCAGATAATTAGGCCCTAGTGTAAAAGGGGCTTTAAATAAAAAATTGAAAATAATAATGTAAATTTAACATTGCCAAAGCAAAATGTTTTACCAGTATTAAACCATTTTATTTCTGTCATCCCCAGGCAGTTGTTGCCTCTGGATAGTGGAGGACGCGGGACATATGCCTGTTTAACTCTGTTAAACACCAGGCGTCCCCGTCCTACGTCACCTATCACCTGTCATGTTTTATGGGGCTAGTATATTTAGAATGCTAATTTATAATTCATTTCACTTTATTTTGTTTATATATTGTGCATGAAATCATATATTTTAACAGTTGCATGTTTGCTCAAACTTCATAATGGACATATTTTTTGTTCATCATTTACGGAATAAGATTTTAATTACCCTCGATTAAACTTCTGTTCATGGCACAATTCTGATGAAGTCAAAAATATTTTTTTTTACTGTAGTTTAAAATTGTGACTCACCTCTGTTCTGAAGAAGCGTAAACAAAAATTTGAATATTTTCTTGAATATTTTAATAATTAACGCACAGGCTAAAATTTAATATATAATATATACATAATTTATAAATTACTGATGAACAGTTTTAAAATTCAGTAGAAATAAGCAACACGTAAGACCAGAGAGATTAAATAGTAAAACTTCTATTGAGACGCTTAAAAACAGCTCTAAAATTTAATGAAGCAATTTTTTATACTATATAATAACAAATTTAAAAACGATTTCTGTTTAAATATTTTATTTTTATTCGCTTTTCTTTTGAAATTATACTGTTGTAAATTTACCTTTTATCAGAACTTAACTTTTAAACTTATTTCTACAATCTATTCATGCATGCATCTTTCTTATACTAGATATATTTCCCAAAACAAATTTTTTCCTCAAATTTGTTTTTTGAATTTCAGATTTAAGCAAATCATATTGCTTGAATTTTATGTTATTCTACGAATGGCAACTTCCAAATATTTTCTACGGCTCTTTAATTTAGAAGTTTCATTTTTATTCTGAGTTCATAAATTAATTTTGACTTGATTTATCTTTATTGCTCTCTTTAATTTAATCTTGCATCAGCCAATCTAATTTCTATTACCTTTTCTCTTATAATCATAAAAATGCATTTTTCTTCATTTAATAAGTAATCATTATTTTTGTTTTAACAACCGTAAGATTTGTGTATACTTTATTTTATATTCACCTTATATGATGCAAAATTGCATTTACTCAGTTTAAGTATTATTTATCCTAAAAATTGAACATATTTTAGAATATTATTAATACAGTTCTTTACTGTAAATGCGTTTCAGCTTCGTTGCCGTACGCATGTACAATACAAGTTCGAATATTTTAAAGAAAATGAACGAGAGGTGAAAAACAGTTACAATTAAGCCAACATGAGTCTCACAGTAAAACAGAGCTTTGCTGCTAGAAGATTTTATATCCGCAGAACAATGTCATAAACACCTATGCGTGATCTCCTAGTTAACACTTTGAATAAAATGGCTAAATACATATATCATCGGGTGGTTTCGTTATTAAGAACATAGTATTCATTTTTAGCATCATTTAGAAAAGGATACCTTCAGTTCACTCTAGTTGCAACTTAATTAGTTATCCTACTAATAAATTCTGTACACTAAAAAAATTGAAAAGCATTTAGAGTAAAATAAACTTTTCTAGATTAGAGTTCGAAAACCGTAGAGAGAAATCGCTATAATTTTCATTGCTTTCCATTACACTCCTGATTTCGTTATTAGAACAATAAATTATATTCTAAAAAATGTATTTTCCTCCGAGTAATGTGTAAAATAGTTTTACGCTTCTGACATTTGATTTTTTAGAAGTTTTTTCTTAATTTTTAAGCTCATTAAGGAGTGTTTTTTAATATATGGTTTATGTTACTAGCGTACCAAATATTGTATACTTTAATTTTGTTTTTTACTAGCATTTGATTTTTTTTTTAATTATTATTTTACTTTTGCGCTTAGCATGATATTTTAGAAGCTTCTTCTCACATTATTAAATGATTCTCGACTTATTCCTGAATGAGATTCTTAAATGTAATATATATATATGTGTGTGTGATATAATCAAACTCAGAAGTAATGACCAGCAGGAATTTTGATGCCGTAGAATGCTAAAACGCCGATCCACAATGAATAAGAATTTTGGCAGTCAAGGTATATTTAATTTAACTTTTATTTCATCAAAAAGTTGCGGCCACAAACAAGTTGGCAAATTAATTGTGCCTATTCCAAAAAGTATACATTTTAGATAAATTTGCAGTAAGAAAAAAATAACAGGCAGATTGCAGTCCAGCTAGGCGAAAGCGTAGAAAGCAAGTGCGTTATATTCAGGGTGAAATCTTAATTCAGGGTTAGCTAGTTTTGGTTCTCCATGCATTTTGATTGTATAGCTAATATTGCTATAAAATTACTATTGGCTGTTTGAGTTTTAGTTACGTAAGAATTAATCGAATTATGAAATAATTAATTTTACGTAAGAATTTAGTTACGTAACATCATCAAAATTACGTAAGAACCATATGACATGAATTAATCTCGAAATGACGAAGTGTAAATAGAGGTTACTATTTTTAGAATAGAGAGGGGACCTTAATTTTACGCTGCTAATTTAATCCTTTATGTAATCTTAATTTGTCTTACATATATATATATATATATATATTACATTTAAGATCTAATTACTTTGCTCTTTTACAAAAACATCAAGCGCTTAAAACATTGTTACATTAAACCTTGATAAAAAGTTTCTTATGCTATATTTTTCAATCATTCTTCATTAATTAATTTGTCATTTTGAAATATATTTATGCTATATTTTGCCAATCATTCTTCATTAATTAATTTGCCATTTTGAAATGTATTTATATTACTTCATGAAAGAAAAAGTAACATATTCAAGAAAAATAAAAAAAATTATAAAATGTTTTTAATTTTTTTGAAGATATTTCAAGATTTTCCTCTCCCTTTCTCTTCACTTTCCTCTCGGTTATTCTGATTTTTTTTATTTGAATGTTTATATTTTTAATTTGCATTTAATTCCGAGTTCTTTAATTTGTTCTTGATTATTCAATAATATATAATTATTTATATTTATATTAATTAATATATGCAAAAACTTACGATTAAAAATTATGTTTATTATTAAATGTAATTTCCAAACATGTTTTTATTTTCCCGTCTACTTAATTGCATTTGCATAATGTTGCACCTAGCTTCCATAAATTTTTGCAGATTTCTTTTATAACTCTTGCATTTATAAGCTCTTTTGGAGTTGTTGCTTCAAATTAGTATCATTTCTTATCCATATTATTCTTTTAATAACTCTTCCTCTGAATACTCTTTTTTTTAAAGCAGTTTTTGTTATTTTTATTCTAGCGCTTATTTTTTTATACATTTTTAACTTCTTACCTTTATTTCATCTTCATTTTACTGCTTAAAAATCATTTGCTTCAATCAGATAAAAATAATTTGTATAATTTTATTTTACAAATAAATGTTATTTAATTTATAATTCTGGCAATCAATTTCTTATATTGTTATTATACTCGTATATTTAAACTAAACCGAGAATTTTATGCATTGTTTTTCAATATTATGTACAGTTTTAATCTTCATAAATTTCTTTATATAAAAAAAAAAAAAATTGGGGGGGGGGGGTAATTTTTTTTTGGGGGGGGATGTTACTGGATAAAATAAATTTTATAGTATTACGGGTAAATAACAGATTTTTTCCCAGCTGCGCGAAATTGTCAAGAAACCTACCTTCTTTACTTTATTTTGGTTGATTACTTTTGTGTTAATTAAGTAATATTGATTTTTCGATTATATTTATTTTATAGGCAAATCTACAACAAATGCTAATGGATTTAATTAATTCTGTTTTAAAATTTGTGTCTCGATCTTTTATCTCCAAATACATTGTTCTACAAGTATTATGGTCCATCCAATTTCCGAAATGCTTTTAAACTAACTAGTGCCTCATTATTTAAACTTATTAAGGCTTGAAATTATTACTTTCTTTAAAATTTTATCATACTTGCTATTGTTCCGTAAATATGCTTTTATGGAATAATCTTTTTCTTTTTACGCGTACTTGCAATTATTTAAAAAAAAAATATTTACTATTTATTTATTTAAAGCTACTTTTCTTTAATAAACCTGTTATGTTAAAATTTCAATTACTTTATTCAGTAAACTAGTCATTCCGTTTTGGTAGTAACTCATCAATTCTCCACTAATCCTTTGTAATCTCGTATTAATAATGTCAATTATTTCTTCGACAATTTTATATTTTCTCTGAAATTTCTCTTACTTTTTTTCTTAAATGTTTCAACTTTTATCCTCATCCCTTTTCACTTCAGAATTCTTTATCTGCCATTGAACAGACTGCAACATTTGTCATTATGACATTTCTCAGACGTTTTATTAATTTTATTATTACTTTGTAAGTGCAATTAATTTAAAACTCATTTTATGTATTTAAAAATCTTCTTTTCTTAGTTTTCTTTTATTCGCATTGCGTTAAGTTTGTTTTCATTTGCTTAAATACTCTTCTTAAATGTTTTCTTATAATTCCCTTTCTCGATATGCTGTCTTAGTAAACCTTTCGAAAGTTAATTTCTGAAGTCTATCTCCATCTACATTTTTTCTTTTAGTATTTTACTGAAATTTAATATAAATATGACATTATTTTCTTGTTTGCTTAAATACTTTAATTTTGAATTCGAAGTGCTTAATTTAAATATTTTTTTTGTTTTGTTTTTGTTGTTTCCTGAGTTTATTTTACTAATAAAAATCTCTGTCATTTAATAACTTTATTCACTCGCTCATTGAAGACCATTTCTTTGTTTATCTTCTCCTTCGGACTTCTAATTTTTTTTCTTTTACCTTATATTTATTTTGCTTCAATTTTTATAAAATCTTGTTTATTTAAAAATTGTTTTTGAAGTTTTAATTGGACAGAAAGTCTTTTTTATCAATAACCGTGAAATAATAATTCATTTTATAAATATCAACTCATTTTTTGATTTTAATACTTTATTTCCTTTAAATATTTGTTTGGAAAATGTTATTTTTTAAAACTAAGTTTGTTTCTTCTTTGAATTACGTATGCATGTTATGAAGAAGACTATAGAGCAATAGAGATTACTTATGAAAAATCGTTTTGATACAATTTTTAAAAACAAATAGAACTATAATACAAACAACCCCTGATTTAATGGGGACCAAGCTCACTGTTAGTTCAAAATCACAGTTAATACGACGACAGTAAAAATCACAGGAAAAAAAGAATAACCCGTGATATTTTTTAACTGAAAATACCATTAAGAATTCACCTGTTCTTTCCAGAAATTTAAATTGCAGAATAAGCTCCTTTAATTAAGTAAGCTTAATCAGAATTCAAAACAAAAATAATTTACTGTAAATAACAGAAGAATAAATAAAATTACATTTTAAATGGCATTAAAGAAAATATATACAGGAAAGAAACTTGAATAATCAGTTCAAACTCGCGCAAAAAAGTCGATTAGATATTTTTATTGTACATCTTTGCGCATTCTGAATTATGTATAGATTTAAATTAAATATTGTTGAAGATAAAAATAAATCCCAAATATTATAACAAAATTTGCTATCACTGCTGTTATACTTTCAAAAGATTGAATAGAACCTTCTTCAGCCGCAGAGGCAAAAATGATGAATGGGAAACATTTGCTGAATAAAAGGAAAAGGAAACAAAGCCACTGGCGCCATCTGTTGACAAAACATAAAAGCGACTATGGAAAAATTTCTTTAAAAGCTGAAGATTGAAACGGTTTAGAACTAGAGTTCAAATGTTAAAAGAAGTTTATAGTTAACTTTCGAAAATATTATCCTGAAAATTTGCGCAATTTATGATGATTCTTG